TATTAGGAGTGTTTATATTTTAGTAAAAGTTTAAAGCATTTTCTAAATACTGTTATGTTTACAAGTAGATATTTAAGAAACTCAGTTTTTTGGTGATAAAACACATATGCCTCTCTTTACTGATTCTACTCCCCACGCTGATCTTAGTAAATTATTTCTGAACAACCAGGTGGCCTATAGGTAAGCAAGCTGACACTAAATTCTCACTTAGATTATGATGTTGTGAATGAGATTTGTCAGGATACTTCATGGTGCACGAACATGTTTGGTATTAGGGGTTCTTTTTCTATCATTTTCATATTACAAGCTGTAATTGATTTGGAGGCAGTGTTGCTTGTGTAAGAGTCACTTATTTAGAAAATGAATAACTTTACTAAGGTAAAAGTGGGCACTGTGACTTATTTTTATGTGGTTAATGTATATAGTCTTTTACATTCAGTTTGCAGAAAAGTTTCAGGAATTTAAAGAAGCTGCTCGACTAGCAAAGGAAAAATCACAAGAGAAGATGGAACTTACCAGTACACCTTCACAGGTGGGTATTTCATTTCTATTCTTATTTTTGAGCCTTGTTCATTTTAGATGCTATCCTTTATGCCAGAGTTGAATTTGGGAAAATAATGGCAAAATTAATTTCCAAAGTAGATACAGAAATGCACCCTTTAATCTGTGCATCCATGTACTAACCCAGGAGTTTGAGGTTACAGTGAGCTATGATCACCCCACTGAGCTCCAGCCTGGGTGACAGAGAGAAACCCTGTCTCTAAAAAAAGAAATATCTTATGTTCATCAGTATTTGACAGCCATAATATATGGACCTTAATTAATCTTTTCAAAACATTTAAAGTCTGATTGTGAATTTAATGTACAGAAGCCAGAGAGGATAGTTTTTAAAAGGTATTTCTTTCATTTCTCTTTTTTTCCCTTTCCCCATTTTGTGGCAATCCCTAATGTTTCTGTTTTAGTTTAAATTGTATGATCATTGGCCACTCCTATCTTACCTAAAATGCAGAGCTTGATTCCACTGGTTTAAGCCAGTCTGCTGAATTAATGCTCTACCTAAAGAATAGACTACTACTCAGGAATTCAGCAAAGGGAAGGTTAAATAGGATAATTAATCAATTAATCAATAGTCGATAATAGTAGACACTTAACTGGTCATAGCTTTTGTTTTTATTTGAGGGAGGTATAAGACACTAGGTAAGAATATGAGTTATCTGGCCGCCGGGCATGGTGGCTCACTCTTATAATCCCAGCCCTTATGGAGGCTGAGGGGAGAGGATCACTTGAGGCCAGAAGTTTGAGACCCTGTCTCTACAAAAAATGAAAAAAATTAACTAGGCGTGGTGGTGTATGCTTATAGTCCTGGCTAGTTGGGAGGCTGAGGCAGGAGGATCACTTTAGATCAGGGGTTCAAGGCTGCAGTGAGCTATGATCATGTCACTGCACCCAACCTAGGGCAACTAGAGCAAGACCCTGGCTCAAAAA